TAACATTACAATAATAAACAAATAAAATGTATATTAAAATCATCAATATTCATTCAATAAAAACTAACATTAGAATAAATAAAATCTTCTAGAGTAACTAGTAGAAAACTTAATTGGTCAAAAAAACGTGCATTTTCAATAGTTAATTAACTTATACTTGTATGTATCCTAAAATTTTATAAAGACTACAAGATTCCCTCATTTACTAAAATCTTTTCTTGCTTTTATTTACTTCATAATCTATTGATCATAGAATATAACATATTTCAAGAATCCTAATATTGATTTAATAAAAATATTTTTTGATCAAAAATAACTTTAGGAGCTACATTTAAGTATCAATTGACACAATAAACTTAATTATGAATATATAATAAAAATAAATCTTAGATATATTTTAAGGTAAAAATAATATTAAGAAAATATTGAGACATTGTCTATTCAATTAAACAATTTCTCTATATTTTCCTGTCATTGTAAAGCACATTTATAATCATAAATATTAGTTACAAATTCAACTGTTAGTAGAAGTACAAAAGATAGAGTAAATGCAATGTAAAAGGCTAGAAGGAAGGCTGTAAACAGGAAAGGCAAACACAAAAGTTCTCCGCATTGTAAGAAAATATCTTAATTTTACAAGTGGACATTGATATAATGTCTTTTAATTGTAATAAAACCCTTATAAATAACTAAGATAAGTGATAAGTCTATAAGGATAGGATAATAATAAGGAGACATACAATCACAAGCCATATTCCAATGTTGCTTGCAGTTGTTTGACCTCCAATCCGTAGCATCATGACCTCTAACACGATGGCTCACATACCAAGACTCCTTGCGTTTTAACATCACACACAACACATAAATAATCATAGAGAACACCAGCTAGCACGAATCATAGACAAGTCACACAAATTCTACCATAGAAACTAACAAATCGCGAAATATTCGCACAAACGACGCTCCACAAGCATCGTAACATCGGAATGCAAAACAAAAGTAAACTCGCAAACCAGTTTTGGAGCTATCAAGCAGTAATCTTACGCTCTTGTATGGAAAACCTGTTGGGTAACAGAACACCCGCCTTTTATGTGGTCGGTGAAATAAAAACAATGGGCGAGCAAGGATGAATCGGCTCGTTACGCCGCAAACCACCAATGGCGAATGCTGACACTCTAATGAGTTTAGAAATATATAAATAACCTATCAATATCAAAGAAATACAACAAAACAATCATCACTCTCAAATATTAAACATTTTAATTGATCCATATTTTTAAACAAAATTCTTATAAATATTTTTTTTATAATGAATTACGGCTTAATTTAGATACAATGGTAATCATAAATATACCTAAGTACCCAGACTAAATTGGAATTAATTTCCAGTGTCATTCAGTACAAATACCTTTCCGTCTTTCAAACTTACAATCATAATTAATTGTATGGGTTGTTGAAGTGTGTGAAATATTCAATAATTTTTTTAATAGCATAAGGCCAAGTAAAGATCCAAATATAGTGATGACAACATAAATGATACCTTATCTGACAATGTTTAGTTTCTAAAACAAAGATGAAAAGAGATAAAACATTACATTGGAAAAACTAATATTCTTTAGTTATATCATTGTAATTTTAAATAATGCCTGGTTTCATTATGCCAGTAGGACAGTACAGTACAGTACAGATGATTGAAACATGTACCTGGAAATATTTTAACCATCAATGTGAATATCAAATAGAAAAGTCAGGTATTGGTACAACCTATATAGATCAAACAAGACTTGTAATCAATTGCCTATTGGTTACAAATAATAAGTCTTTGTCAGCATCTTATGTTATCCAAGCCTATTCACTCTTGGCTTAATAGTTGATTTACATTATGCCGATGATGATAGCGCCCAAAATCAGTACTAGCATCCACCCGACATTATGTATACACTAACTGGCGCCTGTGTATCAAAACTATTCAGGCTAGGCCAGTGCTACTGTGCTGCTGTACTGGCATAATGTAAACCAGGCATAGTTTTTTTATATTAGGAGACAAACGAGCAGCGGGAACACAGTGTGTTCAAAGTTTATGTTTCAATTTTATTTCATTATGTTTAAACTCAAATTCACGGTCAATGTGAAATACAATGAAAATTACTAATATTAGTATTGTGACCTTATTTGAACTGTAACTATGCAGTATTCAAGCATATCAAGAAATACAATCAGTTATGTTAACATACTTGCAATTCATATGATAATTACCGCTGAAGCATAGAGTATATATTATGCTGGCTTCAAAAAAAAAACCACTGATCCAGGTATAAGTAAAAAAGATAATTATCTATGGTACCAATGATTACTATTAATAAGCCTTTGTGCAGAGTGAAATAAATAGTTTAGAGCAACAAAGGAAAGAGCGGGAAATTAACTGACTCCCAATACTTGTCAATTAACAATGCCAAAACAATCATACTTAAACATATTGTTATTCCTATTTTTTTTAAATAATAAAGGAGATGACATAAAAATCTAATGGTCATAGGTACTACAACACATTAAAATAAATTTTAAATGATATAGAAAAAGATCAAACCATTAATCATCATCAACCTGCCCTTATTTCTACAAAGGGTCGGCATAGTATGTGCTATTCCTCCATAAAACTCCATCAGCTGTCATATCTCAATTCACCTCTTTCTTATGCTAACCTGTTTCAACAACGAACAAAATTCGATAATCCATCTATAAACATCAAACCATTATCAATAGGAAATGAAGCTTAAACTCGTTAAAAAATAAGGTTTTCGCTTTAACACAGCTCATAGTTTCAATCAACTGACCTATTAATATTGCACAGGCAATGTTGTATTGCACATGTGTCACTATCAAATATTATAAATGAGTTTTTAAAGGTACAAAACACAGTTAAATGGCCAATGCCATATAGACAATATAAACAATTCTATAAAGGTTTTTTAATATAAGTTCAACTCCATAAAACATAAATAATTTAAATGGGTCTAGACTAAAAATATATATAAATTTTAGACTTCTAAACAATATAAATGTACTTTCTTATATAAGATATAATATGAAGTATTTCAATATTTTCTACAACAAAATTTACTTTTTAACATCATTATATCAATCAGCAAGCTAATTCTGAAACTTAGATTAACAACAACAATCTACCCTGATTAGGACACTACATATATTTTAGACCTATATGTAAGTCAAAAAACATGATTGCATTGGTTGATTGAATAACAAAAGTTTAAATTTATCTCTTGTCAAACGATATATAAACAATTATCTATGTAAATTTAGTTCGGCGTAACCAATGACGTCGTAAATTATTTAAATAGATTCGTTATTCGCAAAGTGGGTATGCGAAAATTGTTATTGCCTCACCTGGTAAATATCTCATTAGTAATATCCCCGTAAGCTTGTTCTAGCATTTGTTAACGATTCGAAGTGAATTCTAATTGCAAAAATCTGCGAAACACATTAATTTGACCTTCGAGATGTAATCAACAACCGAGATCATCTGATCACACAAACAATTAACAATAACCGCTCACGACGCAAAAAGTATGTATTTATTCGTCACATATAAGACGGAGAACCTTTGCGAGAACTTTCTTTTTCATAAAAACGCAGCGCGGCAGTGAAATAATCAGTGTAAAAGGTTAAAACTATCGGCTCAAACATTACAATAACCAAACACTGCCACTATGCTATTTATTATATTAATACACTAAAAACTAATAACCAAACTAAAGACAAGAACATTGCATTTACCGTCGGAGTTCGAACGATAAAACATCTTCGACTTATTTCCGATTCCCGAATCCGATTCGCCCTTGTCTATCGGGCGCTAAAAGTCACCACTTACCGGCCATGACAAAGCCCAGCACAAAAACTTTAAGAAGTTTGATAGTTTTAGCACACAATCACTTCTATATTTTACTAAAACATCACACACAACTGCAGATGAAAACCGATTAAAATCATTTCAACATTACATCGGTAAAATGCAATGGCGCTCAGAAAATTCAGAAATACATACAATAATTACTGCAGAGATCAGTGTTGCCACTGTTTCACTACTAAAATCTACTGTGTCATGTGTTATGCCTGGCTTTCATTATGCCAATACAGTAGAATAGTGGCAAAATACAACACTTACTGGCGCCAGTGAGGCCATACCGTTTTTGCTAAGCTCGCGCTACTGTCCTACTGTACTGGCATAATGTAAACCAGGCATTAAACCACATTATTAAAAATGTATCAAATCAAATATTAATCTTTAATTAAAACTAATAAGTTTTGTTTCTTTAAAAAAGAAAACTTAATATGATTAATTTATCTGACACTTTCACTTTAATTAAAAATGTTGCAATTATGAATCTTTTACATAAAAATAACGAAACATTCATATAAGACTATATGTATCTCATTCCCATTTGATATCAAAGTATTATTTATTACATTTCGGAATAAGTCATTTTACACATTGAAACGATTTTACTTCGTAAATGTGATCAATACATAGATGCCGAATGAAAAGAGACATACTTCCTTCAGAAACCCGTTAATCCTCATCATATGTTAAATTCTACCAAATTTGTTTTTTTTGTTTACAGCTAACAACACTTTTATCACAACTGTCAAAATATTTGAAAGCAGACGATAAAACAGTCCGCAAGAGGCACGCATTTTTTTGTAACAGACAGTGCTGCCATCTATTGTTCCATTCGTAAAAATTACACTGACAGCTTTCTAAGATGTAAATAATGCAACTACCATCAATGTAATTTATTTTGGTGTAACTTTTACTACATTTTACGATGATTAAAATAATTTAGAGCTTTTTTCTTAATTTATACTATTTCAAGGCATTATATTGTGACAAAGGTCCTTCCTTGACACTAGTGTCCGTTAACTTTTCAAATAAAAACTTTTTTGTTGACATAATAAGTGTTGCTATTTGTTATTTTATGATTTATTGACGTCAAATAAAGTCAAAAAGCCAACGCAAATTAACAATCTTTGCGAAATTGTTATTTACGCAGAAATTATTTAAGGTCTAGTTGAAAAATGGACGAAAAGCCGATGTTCGACCCTGTACGTATATAAAATCATAAATTTTCGTAGTTGCAACATATAAATTTCATCTATAGCCGCCATATTTACGAAATTTGCAATACCTACCAATAAATAAAAAATGGGGATAACATTTTTTTGGTTCTTTAACTTTTTCTTTATACCTTTAAAATGATCACTTGCAGATTAGTCTTATCTAGAGCTGGAGACAAATACAGAATTCTATTTAGTATCTACAACACCACTTAAGCTTGTCTTACATTCGTTCCTTCCTTTATTGTATCAGCAATTTTATTCACATACAACATTGCCGTATCCTTTTAGGATTATCAAATCGTAACAATTTTTTTCTTTGTTCTCATTGTTTTCATCAACATGCCAAAGCTAAACATAATAAATTCATACGTTATCTACCCATGAAACTTATTTGAACAGTTATCAGCATTCGTGATATAAAACCTCTGTGTTTTGTACATACATCAGACAGATAAAGTGTACCGCATAAGGTTAATTCCTGACTACAGATAATATTATAATACTAAAAATGATGTTTCCGTTTGCCATCTCTATTTTCTCAAAGGATTAGATAGAGATGCTTATATACTTAAAACAAGCAGTTATACGCCTATATTATTAAGTGCACATATTTCTCATAGAATGCAGTGAAGTTCGTACGCTTTGTGTAAATAAGGGTCTATGTAGGTATAAGGTCAGAGTCGCGGAAGAAAGCGCAAGCGGCCTGTGGGCCCGCTACCATGCGTAGGAGGAACAGTAGGGTTTAGTGGGTATACTATGTGCTCCTACCGCGTCTCCCTCCCCCTGCCCCTGACGGAATATGCATAAAGCAATCCCCTCTGAAAAAAGGTATACGTACCGTTTTTATTTCCATGATCGAAGATGACGCTTAACTTTTGTAAACTATTCTGTCTGGCCTCAGCGAAGAGTCTCCTCTTGTTCTTGGGGGAGGACTGCGTGGCGAGGGGAGATACTACCATCGCAGTGGTCGCCATGTTTGATTTTCATGACATGCACAATCTGAAAAAAAAATGCAACACATGTTTTAGACGTAGAATATTTTTCTTAACGGATTTAATATGAAATAATTATAATGTTAAACATTTTTTATTTTTAAATCTACATGTATGTAGTATCACTGCGTTTGCATAAGTTACTCCGTATACGTCAGCTACTTTCTAATAAAAGTCTCGTCAATATAGCCGTTTCGGAGATTACCTGGTACAAACGTAGAGACAACAAGAGTTACTTTCGCATTTATAATATTAGTAAGTTACACTTTGTACTAAAGTTTTTACCGTGGGTTTCCACTGCTACAATATCCATACCCGGTATAAAATATTGTCTGTCTCTCTCTCATAACAGATATAACAATAAATTGTTTATACACGAAGGTTGGTTGGTATGTAAGCCCACGTTTAACCTAAAACGTGTCTATCTCATTTATGTTCTACAAATTGTTATATAAACATAATTATGTACAACACGTCTATCAAAGTAAATAAACCATTCACATTATTCGTTATTACAAAACAAATAGTCTGACCGAATATTTAGCGTATTCAAGGATGTTTTTGCACAGACTTTATGATATTTGTTTTGTCTCTTGCGGTTCGTTTTGACTGTTAAATCTTAAAGCAAATACAATACGGTGCTTCAAAATGTATCACATAGTCGAGGACATTATTTGCCTACCCATTTCAATTTAAGTCGAAAACTTCATACAAACATCGATGGCTCCTAGATAGATAATCGTATTAGGAAGATCTGTAGATTTTGATAGTGTATCGTATGTATATGTTTGATGCGTCATAATTAATCAGGTTAATGTTTAAAGTTTTGAGAGTAAGTGCCATTATGTGTTGAATTATAGCTCTTATGGTGAGAGTTTGATGTATATTAGGTTCGAGGCGGTATACAGTGATTTTATAATTTAATTTAGGACTAAGGTATAGTGGAGATATTGGCTTTAATACCTGTGTTACTGTTTGTTAGTAATCGTTAAAATATGTGTTAAGTAGTAACAATTTTTGTATGTTGATTTTTAATACATAAAATTTTACGACAAAGAATCCAAAGTGTTCTTAGTTCAACCTACACATGGGGCGTAGGTGGACTTAAAATCTTATAGCACATGACTTTAAAAAAAAAAAAAACTGATAATTTTTCAAATTTCGAATGCAATTTGAAAATCGAATGATCAAAAAACAGAATACGATTTTTATGATTCGATGTTATATGCGATGGCATGGCCAGTGAATAACCTACAAAGAGCTCGCAATATAATTAATTGAGCATTGTCTTCGTTCCGACCCATGTGGAGCTCAATGGAAACCGATTCGGACTGATTCCATCCTATACGAACCGGATAATAACATATACATGTATTGCATTTCGTATGTTTGTTCCATCGCTGTATCATGTACTTCAATTAACCATCAAAATTAATGTTTCAAACAAAAAAATGATGAAATAAATTTTTAGTAAGTCTCGAAAATATTGAACATATCACAAGGTCCTGTTTATTCCCAGACAAATCAGTATTCTTTATATTGTCACAAATGGCGTATGAATAGTATTTTTTGACGAACCAACAAACTTTTTTTTCAGCAAGAAATCGAATCTTGATACCGATTTATTAATTGGTTTTTGTTGCAGAACTCTGCCGATCAGCTCACTAAAGAACGAGGAATATGTTTGCAATGTACGTTTATTAAACATTTTAAATCTTTAAATTTTACTTAGTGTAAAATAAATAAACTTCCAAAGTCACCTTTGAAAGGGCGTTGGTGAATGTCGCTTCAAATAGTAAATAGGAAAGACTGTTAAATTACAGATTTCAGTAGAATCGCAACAAACACACTTGTATTATGCAATCCAAACTTTACGGTAGCTCGCAATTTAACACAAGCGCAGAACACAATGTTAGGCGGCGGTTTTATCTAACCACGAAGCTATTCACGAGCGTACATAAAGATTGAAACTTACAATACATGTTATTCCAGATGATTGTGCAGTTAAAAGACTGTACGACGTGTTCCAGCAGTGCGAGAAAAGGGTTAAGAGTAAGGAATACACTGCGGAGACATGTGAAGAAGAAATTATTGACTTGATGGAAGGAATTGATAGTTGTGTAGATGACAGAGCGTTCAATAAATTTGTTTAATCAACGTGTGTATGAACCAAACCAAGTCTTTATGTACTAAATAATTGTTACTATCTCCTGGACTATTATTTATAACTTTAGAATCTTTTCTCGCTTCATTATAGCTTTATTATATTGTATACTAGCTGTTGCCCCCGACTACGTCAGCATGGAATAAAAAAAAACGTAGTAAGTAGCCTGTGTGTTCTTGCAGACTAAGGTCTATATGTATAAATTCAAATTAATACCTTCAACCAAACATCAATCCATCTAAACATTCGCATTTATAATGTTAGTAAATGCAATTGCAAATATCTAAAGTATATATGTATAGAAATATCAACAAAGTTAAATTGAACACCAATTAACAGCTATGAAGACTGTATTTATTTCTATCTCATCCCAGTACGATGTCCCGAGCCGTAAAGATGTTTGAATAATGCTATACGGTTGCGAGACGTTACAGTTTGGTATACTACTAAGACATGGGGGAACGTATACTAAACACACTGTATGTCAGTTTAATTTTGATTTATTACAAGAACAAAGTGAACACGAAGTTTATATATAAATATATTAAACGTATGCAAAATACAATTATTATCCGGTATCACTGGCAGCGACAAGAGTTAAATGTATACAATATTTCATCCTTCGGACCTTGATTCGACATCTCAAGTTCACTGGACTTTTCCAACAAATTGATTTATTAAACAGTAATAATATTTTAATGAACAAATCTTTTGTATTACCCACAACAAAACTCACACCTTTAATTTAGAGGAGTAGGCAGAGACCGTGCACTTCTATGCTGTCTCTCGCTTCTTACAAAATTATTTGATCGTTCTGGAATCTAAAACTACCTATTAAAACTAAAAAATGCAATAACAAATTATTTTTAGTGACGTAGGCAAGTAAGCGATCGCTTTTAGAACTCGGTAGACTTTAGGTAATAAAAGATGAACTGGGTATTCTATTAAAAAACAAGTATAAACAGTTGAATAATCGTGATTTTGTTTTATTTCGTCGCATGTTTGTATTATGGCCTTACACTAAACCACTTTATATGTCCATTTATCTTTTCATACGTGAATTGTTCACATTACTGAAGTGCAGTGGGTTAGTGTGTCAAGGTCCTTATACCTTATTACGACACCAATGTATCACATTAATTTATTAGATTTTTTTAATGTGATAATTATCGTTGTATTTAAAGGCCACACAGTACAATCGTAGTATCTTAGAACTTGGATATATCAACTAACGCCATCTAGTTAAGCAAATATAAAAGTTTATGTTCAACATTTCAAGGCTACACGGTAATGTTTTTGTTTTGTTTTCCAAGTATTGTTTGTTTTGAATTATCAGGAAACGTTTTTATCGTAATCTATGAAGGAAAAACTGTTGGAAAATACAGTTATAGTAAAAAAAAGGGTTAATTAACACTTTTAGATCACTTGAAATGTCTTCAGGTCGATATGTTTTTTAACGACTTGATTGCTTTTTAATTATTACCAATAAATATTCGCGTGCCTACGTGACCGATTAGTTGTCCGAGTGGCTATACGGAGTCAATTCTCTACTCTAATTTGTTGTTGTGACCAATTACGTTGATTAATTGTACGCTATTAAATATAGGAAGTGACTTCGGAAGACAATAAATACTTGTAAATAACTATCCATCCAAACATTCTCACTACTATAATAAATGCGAATGTTTAGATTGATGGATGTTTCTTTGGAGATATCTCCAGAACAGCTGAACGGATCTCGATGAAATTTGGCATACATATAGAACACATAGTCTTATAATGTTTTTTTTAATCCCATGCGAACCGTCGCGGGTGACAGCAAGTTTACAATATTAGTAAGATGTCGAAAAACAAAAGTTTCACTAGCTTGTAGATCGATAATTGCAAGTCTTATCTGGTTTGTATTTTTATTATGAACAAATGATTAATAGCTTGGATACTGGATTGAATGGTATTAGTAATCGTACTAGAATTAATATTGATACAACGTGGCTTCGTTAAGGAGTGCTAAGGTTAACTGGACGGTATGTGAGGTCGTACGTTTCACCTTTACTTAAAATGTATTGACCCTAAAGGCGAACGTTTTCAAGTACTAGAGTTCTTAGTAATCCGATCATATATATTTTTTTCTTTTAACGAAAATTTTTCATACAAGTAAGCAGGTTGTGACCTGGTATGTGTGATAAAGACAGCAAATAATAAATATCAGGAATAACAAAACGCGTTGCAGATAACTTGGATTACAAGACTATGGCTGCGAATTTGCGAAAAGGTAAATAAACAGAGATGTGACAGCAAAAACTGACTTACTTAAAAACTTCTATTCTCGTCTTCGTCTTCTATGTGGTATTCGGGCAAGCGGCAACTAATGCTTCTGAGGAGTTTACAATTTTTATGTTGCCATTAAAGAAAATAATAATAATTTCATATAAATTAATTATTCGAAATATTCGACAAGACATAGTTTTCAATTTGCTATAAATCATCGATTTCTAAATATGCGGAAATAGACATAAGAAGGGCAAATAGTAAAATAGAAAACAGCTCAACAATTCTTGACAATATCACGTGTTTGTGTTGCGATTTACTTCCGACATTTTATTAATAAGGTATTATCATCCAAGATAATTAATAAAAGGTATTTGATACTTTGAAAACATGTATATTTCTTACAATTAAACCCAGTTTTCACTGGCGAAATACCACTGAATCAAATATATTTTTTTTAAAGAAAAAGAGGGATGTAGTTTTTTTCATCCCTTCCTTATAAGAAAACGGGTGGGAAGGGAAAGAGGACTAATTTTGGACTCCGGGACGCATACTCATCAGACGAAACGCGGAATAGCTTCCACTTGACGCGTGTCTTCTGTGTGGTCGTGGTATTTCACCGGGCGAGCCGGACCGATTCGTGCGAAGATGTTAAAGCGGGCTCTACCACTGTTGTACAGAACTTTTGGTTATAGAAGTAGACCAAATTTAATATACAGTATTTTTCCAGTTTGTTTATGATATAAAATCCTTTTTCTCTGTATCTACTAATAAATTACGGTGTCAATATTATTTATAAATAATAGGACATTACACAAGGGACTGTAACTGAGTTTCTACTGAAATAGCTTTTGTAATAGAGAATCACATGTTATCAGTTTCCTATTAAACGGACAAGACTATTATGTTAAAGATTTTCTTATCCTACATACAACGTAAGTATAATTAACAAGTTGAAATAAAAAATAGAATTAATATGATTAAACACCGAATCAATAATCGATCCCAAAGTATTTTTGTTTATCATTTTAATTTAAACACTTTTAATTCTTTTGTTTAATATATTGATCTGATGGACGCAATAGTAATCAATTTAACGTTTAGAAAGACAAATAAATAATCACTATATTCTTACCTCTTACAAATTTTATACATTCAAATGTTTAGATCAGTCTTTCCCAAAGTGGGCGATAACGCCCCCTTGTGGGCGCTGCAGGTCTCAAGTTGCGGGTTATAGTAAAAGTTTCGTTTAGAATTCTCCGTTAATCTACATATATAGGTCACTATAATTAATTAATTTGAAGTCATAGTGGTTTTTAAATATGGAAAAATATTTATTCTCAAAGTGGGCAGTAGACAAAATAAGTTTGGGAACCACTGGTTTAGATGGATGAATGTTTGTTTGAAGGTATCTACGGAACGGGCTAACGGATTTTGATGAAATTTGGCACACATATAGAACATAGTCTGAAAGAACACAGGCTACTTATTAAGTTTTTTTTAATCTACGCGGACGACGCGGACGACAGCTAGCATTTAAATAGTTTTATGATAAATTAGGGGATAAAAGTATGAAAGAACTAATACTTTAGTTTTTAATGCAGCTTGAATCCAGGCCTTATCCAGTACTTACACTTTCCATATAAGTCACAGCAAAAAACTCAAGCCGTGATAAAGTATCGCCTAGGTGATTACCTTGAAATAAGGTCGACTGAGCCTTGTTCGTTTGTTTGTTTGTAAAACCGACGGTAAATAGGATTTACCGATTACCAGAGAAAGCTAATCACGTGAACTAATTCACTAACTGGAAATATAGTTAAAAAATTATATAGATTTACTAGCCGTCGCCCGCAACTCCGTCCGCGCGGGATTATAAAAAACTTATTAGTAGCCTATGTCCAGCCTATGTTCTAAGATTCATGCAGCTGTTCTTGAGATACTTTCCAACAAACATCCATCTAAACATTTGCATTTATAATATTAAGTAACAAAATTGGTTTATGCCAAATTATAATAGTTTTGTTAGCCTGCTTTCGTGATATTTGCGAAAAAAATGGGAGTTCATTTATTCAATTAATTAGCACTATACCATTAGTTAAATAAGTCTTAGTCACCCAATTCGATTTCAAGATCCGATTCTTAACGATCCAGTAAATCCGACTCTCAAAACTGGCGTTTCTCTCCCTTATATCCATCATTGGCCTTGTTGCTGAAATAAGTTGTTCCGAAGAGAGCAATAGGAAACTGAAAATATCTCCGTTCAAACACCCTTTTTTTTTGTCGGGAATGATGTTTTCTAAATTTCCGGAAATCTTTCTTGCGGGCCTCCGAAGCCTTGTCAGACAGATTCCCGATTACAATTGCATTATGAGATAATCTCAGCATCAAGAATCAGTATTTTGTTTGTAATAACAGGCATTTTGTACCAACTATATAATTCAACAAACTTTGCAGAAGTCTTCAAAGAATAATTACGAATACGTATAAAGTCTTCATCCAGTCCTGTTGTCACCAGTTTTTTTTTTATTTACGTGCAGTATTACGATCATTTGTGGTTACATAACCTTTTTTAACTAAATCAATAGAGAGCTTAAGTTCCTTTAGAAATGTTAATTTGATTTGGATTACATAAAGCGATCTTCAAACGCGACTGCTTCTGGATGCTTGAGCAAATACTGTATCACGGAAGCAAAGTTTTCTTCAGATTCTTTTAGTTTTGATATAGCTGCATGTAAAACTTCACAGGTTGCTAGTTATAAGCTCATTTTCTGCTTAGTTTACCTTAAATGGCATGTAGTCATATAGAGCAAATTTAAGCAAAAAAATCGTACTCAATTTCTCGGCTTTCGTAGAAATATCAAATTTCTACGAAAGCCGAGAAATTGCCCACCGTGCGTCGTCGACTTAGTTTACAGAAATCGATTTTTTTTTAAATCGTTTCGGTACTTTTAGAGCCTATTCAATGCAAACAATCAAATCCTTCCTCTTTAAAATATTAGTAGAAAAATCCAATGTCCGTTATGTTACTTTTTAATTGTACTTAATATCTTAATTATTATCTTAACTGTAAACAAATTAAGTATTCATTTAATTTCCGGATTATCAGATATTTGCCAACCCTACCAAGGTCATGTCTTAATTCAATGCATTATTCAATGCATTATTGATTTATGGAATCCAAGTCCCGTGAAAATGGATTGTTAGGTGCCTATATCGTAGATATAAAATACTGTATTAATTGACATTAATTTAAACCATTTCATTCAATTATTGACGAAGGAAATATGTTTTTATATTATTAATCTAATGTTCACTGCTACACGTCAACCATTGGAAATTATTATACAAATTTAATGAAATAAAATTCCCTAGCAAGCAAAATAAGTTTATAAAAGTATCCTTTTTAAAAACTTTAACCGGTGAAATGTTAACATCATAGTAAATATTTAACTGAAAAATATGAAAAACAAACTAATTCTTACCTTGTAAAATTATTGTTTTGTCAACATTACGGCTTAATCTTGAAGATTTTAATCACACTGAAATTATTCACTTTCTTTTAGCGGGAAAATGAAATGTCACAATAAACAGTTCAATACACAATTGTCATAAAGTTTTAAAAATGAAACTTTTTATTATATTTAAGAGTCGAATTGATATATTTATATCAAAATAAAAGCGAACACATGTAATTATTTCCGTGTTGTAAACGCGATTGGTGCTGGCGGAACAATACTTGATTCGTTTCGTTTATCTTCGAGGTTAATGAACATAAATACAGATTTAGCGCCATCTCTTGGTGCATTCATGTAACATATAATTTTTATTTAAATTTAAGTAAAACCTTCGTACTCAATACAAATTAATCATTAAAAAAATACGATCAGTTCTTCTTAATGTACAAGATAATTTATTTATTGCAGAATAAACTTTAAAAAAAATTACAAGGAGATTTTTATGAATCAATTTGAGACGGATTAAATTTTTAAAAATTAGCGACATTTTTTTTTCAGTACATAATATATACAAACTAATGTATATATTAAAAAATAAAAATCTTAAACAATTCTAACAGCCAGTTAAGATAAAAATAAACGATTAATATTTTGATTATATATTTTTATTATGCTCCATTTGCTTACGTGCTAATATTTGACTTAAAATTATCAGATTATTTTTAATAAAGCTTTAAAATACACATACAAATTAATTAAATAAAGAAACAAAACGTTATGTAACAATTAATAACCAACTAGCTTTTGCCCGCGACTCTGTCCGGGAGGGGTATAAAAAAACTTAATTAGCCTATGTGAACCAGACTATTTCCTACATCTGTGTCGTAAACGATAAAATTTATATTAAAATTCAAATCTCTTATAAATGACGAAGGAAAGTGTCGCAAATATTCGTGATAGCCCCTCTATAATGAAATTAATCACTATCACTATCAGAAAACTGTCTCCTGTTTGCACCAAACATGAATCCGAAAACATGCATCATCCGATTGAACTGTTGTTCTCTACGGTGTTGAATAATTTCTGGCATTAAGCGTTGCAAACGTATATGTCCTGAAGATCTACTTTCCCTGTGGTCATCAGACTGTATGTGTGTTGCCATCGCAGAGTATGGTGAGTGTACGCTATTGCAGTAACCGCAATGAAAGTGTTGCGGTTTAATCTGGAACAATTGAGTTAATTAATATTTAAACTCGCCACTAGATGGCGTTGTTCTTAAATTTGAAAATTCTAAAAACAAATACATTGTATATTTAATCTTAATAATATTATAAATGTGAATGTTTTGATGGATGGATGTTTGTTAGAAGGTATCTACAGAACGGCTGCATAGATCTCACTGAAATTTGGCAAAGATGTAGAACATAGGCTACTGATTCAGTTTTTTTTAACTACTCGCAGGCGATAGCTAGTACATTTATAAAGAAATAAATCATTTTTTATAGTCATTTAAATAAACGATTCCTCATCAGCTCACTATATGTCCCCACCGAGGTGCTCAGAGCCTACGCTAAGCTAGGGGCGACAAGGCCATAGTCAACCATGCTGGCCAAGTGCGGGTTGACTTCACACATATCTTTGAATTTCTTCTCAGATATGTGCAGGTTGCATCACAATGTTTTCCTTCAACTTAAATAAACGATTAATGAAATAAATATTTGCATACCTCTCTTATAAACTCGTTCAAATGGTCACTGAGTACAAAAGACTCCGAAGCCGTTTTATTATGGCGATACTGTTGTCTATGGGCATCAAAATCGTGCGTGAAAACCTTTTGTTCACAGATGAGACATTTCAATTTGTTATTCTCTTCAACCATTAAGTTGAAACTTAACAGACTTATGCATATCTTGTCATTAATAACCACACATTTGAAGATACCATCCAGGAAAATGGTATTACTTATGAAATCTTCAGCTGCAATTTTATTTGTTTGTTCTTTGTCAGATTCATCATTATTGTATAATGCAACCTCTAAATGTTGTTTATTAATTGCTTTTAAATGAGCAGCACCAGCTACATGTTCTTGTAAGCATTTCAAAGATGTTGGTATATTAACTTTACATTTATTACAGTAAACTTTGTCTTCGTTATCAAAATAAATCATGTCATTTTTATTTGCAAATTGTTTTGTTTCATAATTAAATGAATTTTCTTTTATTTTTTTCGCTTTAACTTTTTTAAATCTTTGTTTTTCTTGTACTGTTGTAGGTGATGTCTTTCCATTTTGCATTTCTTCTGTAAATTCCTGAGTTGTGTCAGAATCATCTTCGTCTTTATTTATTTCATGTTCCAAAATATGTTCCTTTATTGTTTTAACTTGAAAATCTAAATGTTTATCGCATTTCTTGCATGTTGCAGTTTGCAATTCAATGTTTATGTTAATATCGTTTCTATTAAAGTTTTCAATAGAACTTAAAATGTCCTCAATTTCTGAATTACTATTAGATTTTTCATCAACGTCAATTGTTACATCATCCAATATTTTTATAATTTGTTCTTCATTCTGTTTAATATCATTTTTCTCATTGTCTATACCAGAATGTTCTTTTTTATTTATGATGTCATTTTTATCATCTACATTTTCTGATTTTTCAATATGAGTTGAAACGGCATTTTCAGTCTCAATTTCAATTTTATCCTCATTGGAGTTGAATGTTACATCACAACAACTTTGATAAAGATTTTTATGTTCATCATCATTAGAATGAGCATCAATTGAGTTGAATGCAATAAGTTTGTTGCATGTAATACAATGAATAGTATTATCATCCACCTGAAAATTATGGAATTTTCAATTTTTTTAATCAAATTGGTATATGACAAATGAGTCAGTATTTCAATTAAGTAACTTCAAATCTAGCAATCCACCTCAGATGTGCTTGGTTGAATAGATACCCAAATATTTTTTTTTAAGTTGTTGGCATTTCTTTTTTGAACACAATAAACCCATATGCTAGTATAACTATTTCTGGACGTCCTTGACAACTAGTATAGTACTTACCCGACGATAAAGGTTTTGATTTTCATCATATTCTATTTTGCTTTGAATCAGCTTCAATATGTGTGTCGTCTCGTTCCTATGAATGTGTTCGTCATCGAACTCGGTGTTGCAGATGGCGCACGTGTCCTCCAAGATGCCATTCCACGCTCTGTCGTCAAGCTGCACGCTGGCGAAGGCGATGACTCTGCCCGCGCGACGCTGCACCGCCAGCGCATGCCTGTGCTCCAAGTGTCGCGTCTCCACCAAGTGCAGCCGCACTCGGGCCGCAGTCGGCAACAACACGTTGCACAACTCGCACAAATACCATTTTTTTATCTGTAATGTAAGGAACAATTGGAATCCAACTCTTAAACGCAAGACTAAATCAGGAAATATGGCTTACCTTTCTGACGCATTCTTGTTGATTTCCGAAGTATTCAGTAGTGAGGAAGTTCTTGGTATGCACAGGCTTAGCGACGTGTGCGGCTGCGTCAGCCTCGTCCCTGAGCCGAGACTCGCACACCAGGCAGAAGTAATCCACGCGGCTGCTGAACACGCCGCTAGTACTCAATGATGACATCGTCTTCTATTCACCGAGAAAAAAAAATTGAACGCTAGTGGACTCGACGACACGATCGCAACGAGAAATACTCCCAGCATATTACGTCAGAAAAATTATGTTGTAGGTATTTAATATTTTCGTTATACTAAATACATAAAGAACTACTTGCGAAAAGCTGGAACCAGTCCCTAACTATTATCAAATATGTGACTAATACAGATGTGACAAGGAATTTAAAATTTACATTAACATTCATGGAAAAATTTTGCATTACAAAAACATCGTTTAAGTATTTTGTTTAATAAAATGTACTTAACTATCGTAATGAATCATTAATTTATTTACTTTGTTACAAAATAGTTGTAGAATATGCTTAAAACGTTTAAATGTTTCGAAATACTACAAAGAACTTACTTTAACATATGACGATTGAGCCCACTACAAATAGAATCCAACACGTAAATCACTATTATGTTTGACAAACTGATTTCTAAAATAAGTTAGTAAGCTCTACATCACAGTAAAGCTACAGCACAAATAAAATGGAAAACCACGCGAGAGCTAAAGGTTACAATAAAAGGCATCAAGGGTAATCCCCGTTAACAGCAAATACAAACATGTTATTTACTCATTTTCAAAGATTATAAAATTGATGTTTTTTATAACCATAGAATTAAATTGTAGTTTTTACGCAGGTTTTAGAACTTATATCATTCAATTCTCTGCAGAAAAAAATGTGGCAGTTTATTCAATATTTTTATTTTTTAGTACCTTTTACTATATTATATAGAAAATATAAGTAAATATGGAAAATAATAAAACCAGTGCGTCACTATCTTACCTCATTCGTTTAAAAGTATAATTAAGGAAGTCAAATGTCAATACATTTGTTTTTTGTTGTGGCAACCGAGCAATTGACCACCTGTTTTCGCCACGCCATCTGACGATAGGAAGGGGAAAGGGACTAATAACCTTCGCCATGCACTCATCAGACGAAATGCAAAATTACTTCCACTTCACGCCCGTCTTGTGTGGTCGTGGAATTAAAAAGAGCGAGCGGGCTACTAGTGCTCCAAATGCGAGATGTGCCTCTTTTTTGCTTGTGGCTATATATGTAACTATGGTTATAGGCATTGCGAGATAGGATGGAATCTTTAGATTACTTTAATAAGAAACTAGTTATCGCACGCGACTCCATCTGCGCGGAAAATAATCTTAATTAGTAGCCAGACTATGTTTTACATCTTCGACAAATTTTAGCGAGATCCATCTGACGTTCTGGAAGTAGCTTCTAACAAACATCCATCCATCCAAACTTTCAGATTTATAATATTGGTAGTACTTCATCACCGCAGTAAAAAAAAGCCTGTGAAATGCCTGCGTGCTTCAGCTTTTCCTTCCCTTATCCCGTTTATAATATAATCTTTCATAATGCTTAATAAATGCGGATGTTTAGATGGATGGATGTATGTTTGAAGGTATTTCCAAAACGGCTGAACGGGTCTCGATGAAATTTGGCATACGTATAGAACTATGTCTATAACAAATAGGCTACTAATTATGTTCTTTTTATTCCACGCGGACGTAGTCGCGGGCGACCGCTAGTATTACTGTAAAAATAAGGGATAGCGTGGGATCTTTAGGCTTCGGATATTTAAGGTTGATGTCTTATGGCATAAAAACAATTTAATATCCAGCTAAAAGTTAATTTAATAAACTACTATTGTACAATGAAAATCCATTAAGTATTTGTAAACCCAAGTATACATTAATTCTTGTTAATTATTTTCTTACTAAAGAGGACTTAAAAAGAGAGGAGAAATAGATTACTTAAAATATTTATTGTGGTTTTTATGTAGTTATAATTAAAGTTTAACAATATCCTTTTGTTCTCTCGCAGAATGGTTCTAAATAAATCATAACAAAGACCAGTCTTATAATAAAATTATAATAATTTCTAAATAAATAAAAATGATGGTTCTATGTTAACTTTTTAACATAGAATAATGGTCTTTCTTTTTTATGACATACGCCTAAGACATAAACAAAAAGAAACTCAAGATAAATAACATTTATTGCTAATTTTAAACAAAATTAGTGAAACTTTTTTTATTTAATTGTAACATACAAATAATAGACAATATTTCAAATTCATTTTAGCTTAAACATACGTCAAACTTGTTATACCGTGACTGTAACGTCTGGCGCGGATTTTTGACAAATCATGGCTATTGAAAACAGTATTAATGCGTTTACGAAATGAGTTCTTGACCAACAATTAATGAAATATTCATACCTAAAGTGTGTGGTGATATATATTTATGGTGAAATATATAACCACTTTGACGTCCATATCCTTAACTGGCGTCCAAAGGGTTAATTCACGTGTTTAACAAAGTGTCCAATATAATTTTTGGGATAATACAGAATAAGTTTAATTTTAACAGATTTATATTCACTGAATTGATTCTCAATAATGTGAATAATTGTTATGGTTGCGGATAGGAAATACGATAACTTCAATTTTATCATTTTAGTTATTTCCTGTACTCACAATTGTTATTCAAATTAGATAAAACAATATGTGTCCTTTAATCATCTAAAACTGCCTTCAATACAATATACAAAATATATGAATTAAGTTTTGGAACATCCAGATACCATAAGTTAATTGCCTTTTTCACTTGTTAATTGTGATTTTTTTAACTTAACTCTGAATTTTTTTGTTTATTTGTCAAAGAATAAATTGTTTTTTGTATTATACATGGATTTAGTAGGCTGTAGCGAGACATACTTGAACCAGAATGACGACATTAAGAGAGGAATGGAGGAAATTGGATGTGGCCTATGTCTAAACGGACACACAGATAAATTTGATCATAAATATGACAAAAATTAAATACATAAATGTAACTATTATTAGGTATATATTATGAGGCTATTTATTATGAGGTACCATAGCTATTATTTGTCACACAGTAGAGTACGACTTCCAATCACAAGCCCTTAATGGATGCTTAAATAGAAGTCCCGGCACATGTATTGTTATGTACCATTTTTGTTAAAACAATAAATCAATTTTGTTTTTTTTTTTAATTTCAGAGGTAATTGGATGTTATTTAATCAGTACGAAACTGAATATTGGGACACCAAAGTTTCGGATGAAAGATTGCATGTAGATGGAATGAATATGTTACGATGGATATGTTAGGACAAGATAGGATAAACTTCAAAATGTGTATATTAGAGGAAGTTTGCAAGTAGCGCCAGTGATCGAGAAATTGAGGAGTTAGCGTGGACATATTATGCGAAGGGATGATGATGATATTAGCAAAAAAGTAATGAGATTGAATGTGGTTGGCTACAAAGGCAGAGGAAGACCAAAGAATGTATGGAATGTGTGAAAGAAGATATGCATAGAAAGGGGTTAGATTCAGGGGGAGAGATTCGACCCTCCGTAGGAATAAAGGCAGGTTGATGATGATTTAATCACTATCACAAGAATTCCAGCCACCGTCAGCGAACATCATATGCATCATAAACTTTTCATGTAATTGATTTTGTTGTCGTTTTTTGGCGACTTCTGGTAGCAATTGCTGCAGACGCCATTGTGCTGCTATCCTACTGTTCTTGTGGTCAGTAGTCTGTATGTGGGACTCCGTAGTAGACCATGATTCACATACAGTATTGCAGTAACCACATTGGTAACAACCCGGTTTGTACTGCAAAATAAAATATTTTTTAATTATTATATTAATACTAGCTATCTCCCACGACTCCATCTGCGCGGAATGAAAAAAAAACTTAATCAGTAGCCTATGTGTTCTTCCGGACTATGTTTTACATCTATGCCAAATTTCAGCGAGATTGTTAAGCTGTTCTGCAGATGCCTTCTAACATCCATCCATCTAAGCATTTGCATTTATAATATTAGTAAGATAAGATGTACAGAAAAATCTTTGCACTAGTAATAAAAACAACTATAAATTTAAAATTTGATTAATTACTTGATCAGTGAAAGTTTAGCAAGGAAGTGCATAAAGGTTTTTTTTAATAAAAAAAAATTAATATGAATACAACTAACATAAAAATTACATTTTCGTGAAAATATTGATATTTCAAATGACTTATGTGAAGGGATAATTTCAAAAATATAGTTAGACCTACCTCTCTTATAAACTCATTTTCCAACTGAACCACCACTAGACTTTTATCCAAAATCTGTTCATGTTTCTCCGTATCTAGATGTTTATGAAAATCCTGAAAAGGTACACTGCAATCGCAAGCAATACATGTTAATCTTTTATTTTGACTAAACATTAAACAAAAACTGAACAAATTTATACAAAATTTATCATTTATAATAATTTCTTTATGCAACGAATCAATAGCAACTGCTGACACAATGAAAGATCTTGTTGGTATTTTAATAAGATTGATTTCTTTATCGATTTGCTTTGATTTTGATGTAAGATTCCCATGTGAAGGTTCCTCGTTTTTCTTTTTATGTTCTAAGCTGACATGTTCCTTTAATATTTTCATCGATAGAGTTAAATCTATATTGCATTTGTTGCAATGAATTTTCTTTTCATTATCTTTGTATGTCATATTATTTTGTTTTGCATATGTTTGTAATTCATTTAAATCCGATGTAAAGGATGATTCTTTTTTTATCTTTGAATCCGTCATATCTTTTATCTTTTCCTGCTTTTCTTTGTTTATTTTAACGGGTGTTGTATATAAAGATGTTTCTTTATTAGAAGGTAGATCTTTTGTGATATCCAATCCTAATGGAATCTCTTTACGGTCATCGTTTTTGTTTTTAATTTTACCATGTTCTTTAATATGATTCTCAATAGATTGTGCATTAAAATCTAATTGCTTTGAACACTTTTTACATACAGCTGTTTCAATTTCAAAATTTATATTAATATTATTTTTTTGGAATTTGTCAACTGCATTTAAAACGCTTTCTTTATCAATGTTTTCTTTATTTTTTATAGTATTATTTTTTACGATTGGTGTATTAGTAGTTATATTCTTCTCAGTATTTAGAGTTGAAAGACGTTTTTTATGCATTTTCAACATTGTTTGATGATGTAAATCATTTATGTGTTGTTTTATAGCTAAAGGTGACATTACCCAATTGCATAATATACACCAGTTCTTTCCATTTTCATCTCTTGTTATATATTCTTTTGCATTTAATATGTCACATATCTCTGAATCATCTATTGGGGCTGATTTGACAGTTTCCACCTCTTTAAAATTTTCTTTCGTATTATTTTGTATTGTTTTAGAATCTGAGTTTACAGTAGACGTTTTAATTTCTGCTTTTTCATTGCTTTCAATGTTCGTTTTGTTTTTATTAGTTGTATTTAATACAGCTAAAGTTTCTGTTCTATCTGTTATTTTAGTTGGAACTTCTTTTTTACGTTTGTTATTGTTTTTAGAACTATCAATTGTTTCGTTTGTTGCAGTATTTTCAGTAATTTTGAAATTATCACAACAACGTCTATATATATCTTTATGTTCGATTTCATCGAAATGTTCATTAATCGAGTTCAAAGCCAAGACCATATTACATGTTAAGCATTGAAAAGAAGACTCATCAACCTGAAAAATAAATAATATAATATTTATGTAGCCATTCAATGAACACTATATAAAGAATTTTAGAAATGTTCTGTGCAAACTATAGGGAACTACTGTTAGGTATGAATAGTAATAACTAAGACAGTAAACTATAAAAATTTCTTAAATTTAATAAAAAAAGACTTACCCAACGATAAATATTTTGATTTTCATCATATTCGATTTTGCTTTGAATCAGCTTCAATATGTGTGTCGTCTCGTTCCTGTGAATGTGTTCGTCGTCAAACTCGATGTTGCAGATCGCGCATGTGTCATCCACGATGCCATTCCACGCTCTGTCGTCAAGCTGCACGTTGGCGAAGACGAGGACTTTGCCCGCGCGACGCTGCACCGCCAGCGCAGCCCTGCGCTCCCAGTGCCCCGCCTCCACCACGTGCAGCCGCACTCGGGCCGCAGTCGGCAACAACACGTTGCACAACTCGCACAAATACCATTTTTTTATCTGTAATGTAAGGAACAATTGGAATCCAATTCTTAAACGCAAGAGTACGACATCAGGAAGTACAGCTTACCTTTCTGACGCATTCTTGTTGATTTTCGAAGTATTCAGTAGTGAGAAAGTTCTTGGTATGCACAGGCTTGGCGACGTGTGCGGCCGCGTCAGCCTCGTCCCTGAGCCGAGACTCGCACACCAGGCAGAAGTAATCCACGCGGCTGCTGAACACGCCGCTACCACTTAATGTAGACAACATTTTTGGTACATCCTAAAATAATAATAAAATCAAAAGTATACTGCAACCGGTTAAAACCAGTCTACACCGGTTTTAATAAGAGATGTCATATATCTTGATGTTTGCATTTATTTCAAGTTATAGAACAATTCATAAAAGGTTGAAGCTACAGCATTAGGGACTGTTGTCAACTGAAGAAAGTAATGTGGGGAAAGAGTTTTTGGCCCATACATTGCATAACACTCTTTGACCTCACCATTGGTAAAGAACTTAAGAACAGGCAATCCCATAAAATCCAATGCATGACTAGGATTGACTAGGCAGAAAACCAACCATACAAATACTATAATAGCTACTTAGCTTATTTATTAAAAACTTATGTATACATAACTATAGTATAGTTATAAAGTAAAAAATTAATAACTCAATATTTTCAATGTTTCATGTTACTTCTTATTCATTTTATAAATGTGAATGTTTAGATCAGTCTTTCCCAAAGTGGGCGATAACGCCCCCTTGTGGGCGCTGCAGGTCTCAAGTTGCGGGTTATAGTAAAAGTTTCGTTTAGAATTCTCCGTTAATATACATATATAGGTCACAATAATTAATTAATTTAATTTGAAGTTATAGTGGTTTTTAAATATGGTAATGGTGACAGTATGGAGGCGCTAAAAAAATATAATTCTCAAAGTGGGCAGTGGGCAAAATAAGTTTGGGAACCACTGGTTTAGATGGATGGATCGGTGGATGTTTATTTAAAGGTATATCTAGAACTGATGCATAGATCTTGCTAATATTTGGCAAAGATATAGAACATTGGAAGAAAACATATGCTACTTATTAAGTTTATTTAATTCTGCACAGATGGAGTAGCGGGCGACAGCCAGTAATTTATAATGCTGATAAATATTAGTCATATTGTCTTTAGTATGAATCAGATGGCAATTATACTATTTAAATACTGCTTATACATTATTAGTGACACTGTGTGATTTATTTATTTCAGATCTTTAATATACTTACTGTGATTTTTGTTATGGTTCTGGTGTTAAAATGAAAAAAGTATAATTTCTTAAATTTTCAGTTACTTACCTGTCCCTTGATTGAATTAATAAGATAGAGAAGTTTTAAATGGACTACTATTTTGATTTATTATTATAGACTTACTCAATTAACAAATAGATGTGATGTAACAATATAAAAAGGGGTAGATACAAAAAACTAATTCTCAAAAATAGATTTGAGGCATTTAAATGTTTTGTACTGTACACAAAGTTACATTGAAAAATTATTCATAAAACAAAATTGATCTGGATATAGAGCAGGTTTGGGTTTTGCATATATAAATTAGTAGTATAAAAAAAAACTTAAAAAAAAAACTAGGAAGTCATAAAAGAAAATTGATATTACCATAAATAGTGATATAAATTTACGCAACAATCTTTAGCTTATACAATTGAAACAAAACAATTGAATGGTAATTTTTCTTTGCAATAAGCACTTAAAATACGTTTTAATATAACAAAATTCATTCAAATAGGATAACGATGTTATGTGAATCTACAATTAAACGACAATAAAACAAATAAAAGCAATCACTAAGTTATTAATTATCTACTTACTTGTTACAAGTCCGATGTGTATGAAAAACGTTTATATTTTAGGACATCACTTTCCTTGCTTCTTCACGCTTCTGATAACTGAACTGAATGATTTAATAAGTAAAGAAAATGACTGGTTATTTTATACCACTTTAGAAATCAAAGGATTCCCCCGCAATCGCATTACTTTTTACCATAGAATTCGAGACATAGACAAAGAGTTTGGTTTGCATTGTCGATCCGTCTAAAAATTGTCGTTTGCATAATACTGTTTTTTAAAATTAAATTCTAAAGAAATTGTATTAAAATACGTGTATGTATTAGTGGTAATTTTTTTATTATAGGAAATAGAAGTTTATCATTCTATTTTTGTATTTACATGATCTGATGTACATTTGTATAGGTACAATCTGTAGGGGTTGGGTTGTCTACATAGAGTAGTTGTCTATGCATCCATCGAATTATTCTGTCAGAATAGTAAACTGTAAAAGTGTGGTTGTAATTTTTTCTTTGAACAAAAAGCATTATTCATTTACGTTTTCCTTTTCTATTAATCTTATAGTAATCTTCAAGACACAATGTAAGCTATCTTTTGGAAAGGAAGTCTCAGTTTAAAAAGCGAAAACATGACTAACATGATTGTTTTTCAGGGCGACGACGACCAAGCCACGCTCAGAAATGACTTTGGAGGAGTTATCTAAAATTGAAGAAGAAGAATTTAGTACCGGTCCTCTTTCAGTACTTACACAGTCTGTCAAGAATAACACACAAGTATTAATAAACTGTCGTAATAATAAGAAACTTTTGGGTCGAGTAAAAGCTTTCGACCGGCATTGTAACATGGTTTTAGAAAACGTAAAAGAGATGTGGACGGAAGTACCTCGCACTGGTAAAGGGAAGAAGGTAATATTATTATTGTCCTAACACTCAAATAGTATTTTGAAAACAAATTTAAAATATAGAGCCTCTCAATTAATATTTATAGACTTACAAAATATTGCCAAATACTTAAGTTGGTAATCCTTATGTTGGTATTATGTTATGTGTACCAAAAGCATAAGGCAAGAAAGACCAGAAACCCTCAGTTCTATTAAAAGGTCTTTATGTTATTCAGTAATCTCATCTGCATCAACAATTTTTTCAAATATATAATTTCTGTTTCAGGGTAAAGCAGTAAACAAAGATAAGTTCATCTCCAAAATGTTCCTCCGAGGTGATTCAGTCATCTTAGTATTAAGAAATCCTCTTGCAACTGCTGCAGGAAAGTGATTATTGAAAATATTCTAAAAACAATTTGTGGTAAAAATGTCTGAAGAACCAATAAAAACTTTAACCGCATAAGCCAATAACTAGAATGTAAGTTTCTATTTCTCTGAATAAATATGCAACTAAAAAATATTTGTTTTATTTGTTAATAATCAACATTATTAAAGTTCCCTACAAACATTTGTACTCTGTTCATGTTTTTAAAGGTTCAAAAACAATAAAACACAATTTAATTTGGGTCATTTTTATCTTCACATCTTGTTAAATCATAGATCGCCTTAAAATTCTTTAAAGTAAATGAAATGTGCAAATTATAAAATAAAATAGATGTGCGACAGTCTTGCCAAATAAGCATAAAAGCCTAATTACAAAAAAGAATTCACTTGTACACTTAATTCCTAATAAAGTTCATTAAACTTTCAAACAACTCTAAATACAATTTCTTTGGTTGTATTTACAAATATTATGTATGTACTTTTCAATTAATAGACATTTTTAGGTTATCACAATTTACCAGAAGTTTAATGGAATTTTATATACTATTTTTGTCAAAAGTTTTTCGGGAAAATAACGCTTGTCCATAATTATCTTAGAATTTAAAATAATTGAAACTAATAGAATGCCTAAAACACATTTGTTATAGAAACATTAAACTTGTTTTATTATAATAAAAATAAAAGCTGGAAAAACTTTTTAATTGGTCATTAAAAAATAACTATGTTAATATAATTTTGAAGTCTTGCATAATTTTACTTGAATTTAAAAGAAAAATCTTTATAAATTGGCAACACAAGGACTATGTTTCAAAGACAGACTATTACTGAGATTTTTAATCCTTTCCCAATTTTCTTTACTCAATAAGAAAGTTTTGAAAGACTTTGTTTTATGAAGCTCTTTATTTTTTTTTGTCAAATTTGTATTACATATGACAAGATATGACAAATTTTCTAGATATTTTAGGTTGTGTTTTAAAAACAATATTCTTTAAAAATAGTCCTATAAATGAAAATAGCAAAAAAGCGATGCATATTTTAATAAACTCGATCAAATCTGAATCTACTTATTACCTCTATGGTTCGATGTATCAGATATCCATTAACAGAACTTAAGTGATAATTGTATTAATATATATTGGCATCCATACATACTCTTTCAATAAAACAGGGACAACATTATATACTCATACAAGCATTGATCTTTATAAATGGATAGACCATTGCTAGGAAATGACAACTTATGCGATGTTCCAATTTAAGCGCACCTGTTGCAGTTTTTGGCAGTTAATCCTACTCCATTACTTCGAATTCTCAGCAATTGCAAGTCAGCGTCTAGATGGCGAGGAACAAATAGGCACAAAACTCCAAGGGTTATAGCCTATCCATGTACAGAGATCAGTGCAGTATCACAGAAGTTGAATTCGACGGTATTTAATTGACTATAAAACTTTTATTATTTAATTGGGACGTTCAGCACCAATAGTTTTGTACCTAGGCAGTGCTGTGTCGGACGTATGTATTATAAATTTACCATATTTAATAATTATTTCACAAAAAAAATCAACACAACGTTTTGTTCTATAAATATAAAAATATTTTAAGCTAATATTAACTATGGAAATCTTGACAAATAATATTCTAGCACCAGATTTGAATTAACTGTGGATTACAGACTGCAGTGACATTTTGGACAGGTATTGTCATCCCACTTATTCTCTTTGAAGAAATAGAGACAACAATATGTGTACAGTCAAATTCAATAGAAATGAGAAATTAAATTTACACACGTTACTGGCTGACAATGACATTTATTGTCTATGGATTTATTTTGGAACTTGTGTTCAAATGATACAAACATGTCTGTTTTTAATTACTCTGTGACTATAGCCTTATAAAGGTAAAATTGTTTAGATATGTGTACTACACAAGTGTTCTTGCAGTAGTATTATACTTACATTCTGTTTAAGGCGATTGCTTATTGCTTGTATTATTATTTATTTTGAAACGTTTTTTTTTTTATAAATGCTATTTTAATATATTCGACCAAGCGTACAGTTGCTTATTGCTTGACCAGGAATATAAAAATGCGCGTCATATTACAACAATATGAAACAAATTTCTTTGCGCATATTAGAAAATATATGTATTGAAGAAGGCAATTAAAACGCCTCCAGACCAGGATTTTTATATTCTTGGTTACGCTATAATATAATTTATATAAAAATACATAAACTTACAATTTTACCTATCGTATTCAAATCAATATAATGAATTATTTACATGTCTTATAATCTAAATTCAGATACAATATTCCATTTACAACTAAATACGCAAACATACAAATTCATACACATTTATACATAATTACATGGACATATATTAAAATGCCTTTATTAAAATATGAACACTTTATTGATTACATCTGTAACGCACCTTGTTCCATTTTTAGAAATTAAAAAAAAAACGTGAAGACCTTGAACAATTTTTATGACATAATTTAGGTATGGTATTTATATAGCAAATTTTGGTTTAACAAATCCAAAAATATTTGAATTTTTAAGTAGATTTTAAAATTTGGAAATGAAATGATAATTGTAAGTGAAAATGTTTTACAAAATGAAGTAACTAAGACTAGATTTTATACTGATTTATCTAATCATAACCTAAAAACACATTCGCTGCCAATACGATATCGTATGAAAATGAACTCGCCAGGCGAGTAGTAATGAATTTGTTAGTTTTAAAATTTAAACGCGTAAAATATTTAGTCAAATAAAAGGAATACAACCATTAATCTTGCCTTTCTGTTTAATCGTCGATGTAATAAGGCATAATATTGTTATCTCGTTTTTTTAAGGCGAATGAAAAGAGATAACACTATGTTTGTGTTTTATTTCAGTGGAAAGGATCGTTTAGTCTTTTGTATATTATGTTAGATTTACATTTATTATGGATTATCAGTCTCTTTAAATTTAAATGTCTTGGTACGATTTCATGCTATTATAGGTTATTTTTTGGGTACATTAATTTCTTTACCCAATGACTTTCTATTTTCAAATTTTTGCTGTAAACTAGCTACGTTAGACGGTTTCGATGATAATTTTGTTGCATTCGTTTTGACGTTCGATTCCGTTCTTTGAACATTAATTGTACTAGGTTTTGGAACTACTTTAGGCTTATTTTTATTTAAATTATCCGCTATTGCTTTCACATTAGAGTCTACTTTAGATTGTACACGATTAATATTCGGTTTGTCTATTGTTTTATTGACGTTTGTAGATGGATTTGTTTTAGTTTGTGTTTTGTTTGTTTTCTTGTCTATTGTAGGCGCTGGTTTTAGCGGTGGTCGGTTATCTGCAGTTTTGACAGGAACTGTTGGCTTTGTGGCTACTTTAGGCGGTTCGAGTATTTTGTTGTTATTAATAACATCGGGAGCTTTAACATTTTTTGTATCAACCATTGCACAACTCGATACTAAATCTGGACTGTTGGGTATTATTTTAGGGGTTATTGCATTTTTGATTGTATTCTTCGGTGATTGTGGAACATTTTTGAAGGTGCTTGTATTTTTTAAACCGGGAGGCGTGACTTGTCTTGCAAATGTTGGTATCTTTGAGTTCGCTTTTAAAGTGGGAGACGGCGGCGCTCGTTCCGTCTCTTTCGTTTCGTTGTTGTTGTCCTTTTCTGTCATGTACGTTGGAACGTTAACGGCCGAAGGATGGAGATATCCACTGCTAGTCGTTGAAGCCGAGCTTGATTTCGCACCGGAGTTACTATAAACGCTTTCTGGCGTTTTGTAATGATCAGTATTCATGTACGTGCTGTCTCTTTTATTCTCGGCGTTCTTTTCTTTTCTCTCCTTCTCTTTCTTTCTCGATAGAGTCGAGGCGGAGTATATGGAGTCGAAGTTACGATTTTGAATCTCGTTGACAATTTCTCCTAGAAGACCGACGCTTTCTG